AGGACTCAGCTGCTGGGAATATTCTTGCTCTCAGCCTCAGGAAACACTTGCCCCAAGGCTTACACCCGCTCCCAGAGCGAAGCAGGAAGTCAGTGACTGGCTAACGTGAGAATACAAATGCCTGCCCCCCTTATTTCAATTTGGGACAACTCTGAAGGGCATGCCCATTCTTAAGGTCCTCATGAGATCAGCTGAGGCCTTGGTTGTAACTACTAAGTTGTAACTATTGTGGTGGTCAGCTTCTTCCATGATCACCCTGTCTTCTTCACGTTGCCATAGGTGGATGACCTGAGAGCATTCCCCAATAAGCTTCTGCATGCAACTCTCCACCACAGATTCTGTTTCCTAGAACCAAGAGTTGGGGGGCGGGGGGGGGGGTAAGGGTAAGGGGTAATCAGCCTTTCCCAATGCACATAGGTTGAGTCAGGGAGGAAGGGGATGGTACAAAACTTTTAATCCTTATTAAAAAAAAGGAGAAGAATCGTATTGGGGAGGCAACTACACGGATCTTTTGATCTTTCAAGAGAAGCCAGAAACCGTTTACTATGTAAAAAGTCTCATGATGTCTTAATGTTGGAAAATAACTGAGATATTTTTAAATGCTATAAAGAGTCAACAAGACATGGTCCAATACCCACATTTCAGCAGTTTGCAAACTTGGCCAGAGAGAATACAGGTGTGTTTTGTAGCTCAGAGAGCAAAGCTAGGACTCTAGTTATATGAAGTCAACATGTCAGTTCAACCTAAGGAAGTTTCCTAATGATTTGAGCAATATGGAAATGGAACAAAGCCCTTCAGGAAAAGGTGAGTTCCTTGGCACCAAAGTTCATGTTTGAGTCTTTTAGAATTTGAGCTATATGATCTTTGAGAGCTAGGTTTTGGGTTCCTTCCTGGGTTGGGGCTCTATGAGAGGCAATAGATTGAAGTTTCGCGCTCTCTCTCTCTCTCTCTCTCTCTCTCTCTCTCTCCTTCCCTCCCTCCCTCCTTCCTTCCCTAAGATCAATAAAAATAAAAAAGAGCAAGAAAGAGAATGTGGAAATGAAAATATAACTGGAATAAAACAAATTTGGTGCCATAGCCAGTTTTTCTCAGTGGATAGTGTTGGCCTGCACATTGAAGGATCCCAGGTTGGAACCTGCAACCAAGGTATGTGCCCTTGACCGGAATCGAATCCGGGACCCTTCAGTCTCCGGGCTGATGCTCTATCTACTGAGCCAAACCGGCTAGGCCAGTGGTCGGCAAACTGCGGCTCACAAGCAACATGTGGCTCTTCCACAAAATACCGACTTCTGCGCATGGGCCACGAAGTTTCAATCGCACTGTATGTGAGCGCCCGCATATGGTACCGTATTTGCCGGCGTATAAGACGATTTTTTGGCCCTGAAAAATATGCCTCCAAGTGGGGGGTCGTCTTATACGCCAGGTACACTTCAGATAGACTGCCCATAGTGCTTGCCCCGTGCCATAGTGGCCTCCCGATGCCCGCCCACTTCATTCCACATACCGTTCAGGCATCAGCAGCGCTGCTGGGTGTATGCTCGGCTGTTATGCGATTTTGCTGTTATGCGATTTTACCACACTCGCAAAATCGCACACAGCCGACCATACACCCAGTATGATAGCGCAAAATCGCGAATCGCGATACCATACTGGGTGTATGGTTGGCTGTGTGCGATTTTGCGAGTGTGGTAAATTCGGGTTACCGTATATTTCTTTACATATGCATTGAAGATTCGCGATTTTGCGCTATCATGGTGCCTGTTAGAATGTTGAAGAGCTCGCACTTGCGCACTAGTGAGGTCCCAGGGAGATGCTGATGCAAGGGTGGACCAGACTGCTATAGTGACAGGGCGGGCAAACAGGGAGCAGGGACCAATCAAATCAGGCTTTGTATACAGCCAACAGCCAACCACAATACTGCCCCATCGTACAGTACAGCATAGAAAATGTCGACCAGTCAAACCCCTATCATCCCTATCATGGCACCAAGATGTCGTTGATGAACTTTTAATATCAGATGATGAAGAGGAGTTTGAAGGCTTTTAAGGTGAAACTGTCACGCCAGCAAACTTGCTAGGGACTTGCCCGGCACTTGCTCTCTCCCTCTATTTGTTATCTTACTTCTATCATTGACAGTCCCTCTAGGTTGTGGGCTGCTTGCCTGTGTTCCTGAGAAGCATCTACGATACCAGTCTATAGAGTGTGTTTTCTTTAGTGAATTACCGGTATGTTTACCAGTAATAAACTTGCACTGTTTTATGTATATGTTTGATTACATACAGCCTTGTGACAGTTTTCCTGCATGTCATAAGCATTTGAATATAAATTAAAATGTTAAAATCAAATCTGATATTGTTTTACCTTTTATTTGGTGTGTGGAAGGTGTGCGGAAGAGGGGGTAGTCTTATACGGCGAGTATATAACAAACTCTGTATTTTGAGTGGAAATGTTAGGGGATTGTCTTATACGCCCAGTCGTCTTATACGCCGGCAAATACGGTACTTTGTGGAAGAGCCACACTCAAGGGGCCAAAGAGCCGCATGTGGCTCGCGAGCTGCAGTTTGCCAACCATTGGGCTAGGCTAGCATAATCATTATTAACATGTTTTTATTGATTTCAGAGAGGGAAGGGAGAGGGAGCCATAGAAACTTAGATCAATCTATTGCCTCCTGCATGCCCCCTACTGGGGATTAAGCCCACAACCGGGGCATGTCCCCTGACAAGGAATCGAATTGGCAATCTCTTGGTGCATGGGACAATGCTTAACCAACCGAGCCACACCGGCTGGGCCAGCATTATATGTATATACTAGGGGCCCAGTGCACGAACTTGTGCACCTTAAAAGGAACTGTGGGCCGCGAGGTTGCGGTGGGCACAGGTCTTGGCCCATTCTCTGTGCCCTCACCCGGCACCTCCCACTGAGGCCCCTGGTCCCATGTCTGCCAGCAGCACAGCCCCACTCCCACTGCTCCCACTTGCTGATGGTGCCGACCCCACTCGCACCCGCTGACTGCACTGAGCGATTGGGGCCTGCGCCAGCAGCAGGTGCAAGTGGGACCGGCACCGTCAGTGGGTGTGAGTGGCAACTGCTGCCCCAATCGCCCCTCAGGAGCAGGGGGAGGTGGAGAAGCCCTCAGGGACAATCGGGGCAGCAGCGATCGGGACCAGTGCCAGGCGCCAGCAGTGGGTGCAAGCAGTGGCTCGGGCGCCAGCTGCAGGTGCAAGCGGGGCCAGCGCTGGCAGTGGGTGCGAGCGGCAGCTCTGGTGCCAGCAGCGGGTGCGAGCGGCAGCTGCTGACCCCAATCGCCCCTCAGGAGTAGGGGGAGGTGGAGAAGCTCTGAGGGGTGATCAGGGCCTGTAGCCAGCACTTGCACCTGCTGACAGTGCCAAGTGATCTGGGCCGGCGCTGGGCGCCAGCAGCAGGTGTGAGTGGGGCTGGCACCAGAAGCAGGTGTGAGCACCCAGCGGGACCATGGCACGTGGGAGCAAAGAATTTCCAGTAACCACCAGAGGCTCACCCCACTCATCTGCTCCACCATCCTGCCGTGGCCGATGCCCACCATTTTCTGCGCTCTGCTGCCTGCTGCTGACGCCTGCCAAGTTCTGCACACACACCCTGATGGTCAGTGTATGTCATAGCAACTGGTTGTTCAGTTGTTCTACCATTCGGTCTATTTGCATTTTAGGGTTTTATATATATAGATATGTTTTTTTAATCCTCACCTGAGGATATTTTTCCATTGATTTTTAGAGAGAGTGGAAGAGAGAGGGAAAGACCGAGAGAACATCAATGTGAAAGAAACACATTGATTGTTGCCTCCTGCACACACAGACTAGGGCCCGAGCCAGGGAGGAGCCTGCAACAAGGTACATGCCCTTGAGCGGAATTGAACTCAGGACCCTCTGGTCCTCAGGCTAACACTATCCACTGAGCCAAACCAGCCAGGGCTAGCATAATATTTTTAAGGTGCATCCATGCTGTAGCATGTATCAGTACCTCATTCCTTCTTACGGTTGAAAAAATTCCATTGTATGGATATACCACATTTTGTTTATCCATTTATCAATTTATAGACATTTTAGTTGTTTGCAACTTATGGCTATTATGAATAACGCTGCTATAAACATATGTGAACAAATTTTGCATGAACATATATTTTCACTCTCTTGAGTTTATACTTTGGAGTGAAATTGCTGGATCTATGTTTAACTTTTTGAGGAATTGCCAAACTGTTTTCTGCAGCAGCTTCATCATTTTACATTCCCACCAGCAATGCACAAGGGTTCCACATCCTCACCAACACTTGTCCATTTTTAAGATAGCCATCCTCGTGGGTGTGAAGTAGTATCCCATGGCGGTTTTGATTTGTATTTCCCTAATGCCTGATAATGTTTAGCTTCTTTTCATGGGCTTATTGATCATTTGTACATCCTCTTTGGAGAAATGGCTATTCAAATTCTTTGCCCATTTTTAATTGGGTTGTCTCTTTGTTGTCGAGTTCTAATATTTCCTTTATATTCTGAATACAAGTCCCTTAGTAGAAACATGATTTGCAAATATTTTCTCCCATTCCATGCATGGTCTTTTACTTTATTTTTTTAAAAATATATATGTATATTTAATCCTTACTCTAGGATGTTTTTATTGATTTTAGATAGAGAGGAAGGGAGAGAAACATCAATGTGAGAGAGAAATACTGATCGGTTTCCTCTAGTACCTGCCTGGACTAGGGATTTAACCTGCAACCTAGGTATGTACCCTGACCAGGAATCAAACCTGCAATCTTTTGGTGTATGGGATGACACTCAAGCTAACTGAACTACCTGGCCAGGGCTGTCTTTTACTTTCTTGATGGTTTCAATGGAAGCACAAACGTTTTCAATTTTGCTTAAGTCCAAAAAAAAAAAAAAAAATTTTGCTTAAGTCCAATTTATCTCTTTTTTTCCCTCTGGTATGTTAATGCTTTTGGTGTTATATGTAATCCAAGGTCATGAAGATTTATCTTGTTTTCTTCCAAGTCAGTTTTAGGTCTTATATTTAAGTTTTCGATCCATTTTTAATGTATTTTAGAGAGAGGAAGAGAAAGAGAGAAACATCGATAGGTTGCCTACTATATGCACCCCAACTAAGGACTAAACCCACAACCTGGGTATGTGCCTTGATGGGGCATTGAACCCGCCATCTTTTGGTGTATAGGACAACGCTCAACCGAGCCATGCTGCCAAGGGTATCTATGCCCATTTTGAATTAATTTTTGTATATGGTGTGAGGTAGGTGTTCAACTTCTTTCTTTTGCATGTGTATATATAATAGTCCCAGTCCATATGTTTAGAAAAGACTGTTCTTTCCACATTGAATTATCTTGTCACACAGGTTTCGCCTTTGTCATTAGTTGAAAAATGATTGACAAAAAAATTTTTAAAGGTAATACCTAGTTTAGGCAACGGTGAGGGAAGTCTTAATCACTGTTCATGGGACTGCAAAAGTAGTACAGCCACTGACGTGAAATTTGCTATGCATATCCAAATCTGAAATACATACACATGCTTGGATTCAGGAATTATACTTCTAGGAATTTATTTCAAGGAGCTAATTACACAAAGATGTTATGTATAATGGTGAACAACTGGAAGAAACCTAAATGTCAATCAGTAGTAGACCAGGTAAATAAATTATGCTACATCCATACAGTGAAATATGACACAAACTTTAAAAATGATGAAATTAAAAAATAATAAAATATAATAAATAAAAATAAACCATGAACTAGACATATTTATTGACTTGGAGAAAACTCTATGATTTACTGAGAAGTAAAAAATAAAAGCATGTTACAAGTGCTTACAGCTCTTTCTGAATTTGCCTAGTATGTCTTCTGGTTTTATACCAAAAGGTCCTCCATAAAAAAAACAAAACACCTTACAAAGCACCATTTATGCATTCATATACTATACTAGGGGCCCAGTGCACGAATTCATGCACCTTAAAAGGAACTGTGGGTCGCAAGGCTGAGGTGGGCACAGGAGTGGGTCTTGGCCCATCCTCTGTGCCCCCGCCTGGCCCCTCCCACCGCGGCCCCTGGTCCCCTCTCTGCCGATAGCCCTACTCCCGCCACTGCCGCCACCACACTGGCACCATTCACACCCGCTTACTGTGCAGAACAACTGGGGCCAGCACCAGCAACGGGTGAGAGTGGCGGCTGTTGCCCCGATCGCCCCTCAGGAGCAGGGGAAATGTGGAGAAGCCCTCAGGGGTGATTGGGGCCAGCAGCTGCCGCTCAAACCCACTGACAGCACTGGCCCCACTTGCACCCCCTGCTGGAGCTGGCCCCAATCACTCTGCACTGTCAGTGGGTGCGAGCAGGGCTGGTGCTGGACGCCAGCAGTGAGTGCAAGCAACGGCTCCAGTGCCGGCAGCGGGTGTGAGCAGGGCCAGCGCCAGCAGCAGGTGTGAGCACCAGGTGGGACCACGGCACACCAGAGCAAAAAAATTTCAGTAACCAGAGGCTCGCCTGGATAACAGTGACCAGCACCCCGCCTTGGTCTGGCGTTCCTGCTCACCTACTCCACCATCCCGCTGTGGCCGACACCTGTCATTTTCCGCACGCACACCCTGGTGGTCAGCGCACGTCATAATGACCGGTTATTCGGTTGTTCTGCCGTTCGGTCTATTTGCGTATTAGGGTTTTAGATAGATAGATAGGTAGATATTTACATATGCATATACATTCATGGAGAAAATATTCACAAAAATATTAACAGTGGTTGCCAGTAGGTAATGGGATTTAGACTGGTTTTTATTTTCTTCTTTATACTTTTTTTTGCATTGCATGAATTTGCTACATGAATATGCATTGTCTTTATATTCAGAAAAAGAAAGGCTATTTTCATTTTGTAGGAGCATATCAAGGAATATATATTGTACAGGACAATTCAAATGGCATGGAACTATGTTCATAATATATTGTTAAATGAAAAAAGCAAGTTATAGTATCATCCTGTTTTAAAAAAATTTAATGTAATATATACAGTATTTCCTAGGTACTATGATAGTTTATTTTTTTACTACCTACTATTTCTGAAATAAGGATGTCTTATAATCACTATGAATATTTAATGTAGTGGGTTTCCCCCTTGCTGCCTCCCTGAAAAGCTGTTATTAATGAGATGATGCTTCTGGCAATCTGAGACTTGAGAAAGTGCCATATGTGTATAGAGAAAAGACTGGAGGAAAAGACAGCAAAACGTGACCAGTGTGTGCTTAGTCCTGAATTGAGATTTTTATTTTCTTCTCTTTGTTAAGCATAGTTTCCAAGTTTTCTATAGTATATACATAGATAGACATAAAAAGAAATCTGGCTGCCCTGCTTTCCTTCCTTCTTTGTTATTATTTTTTCTTTTCTTTAAAGATCTAATTGGCTTTAATAGATGATTTATGAATTGGACAGCACTTCATCTAGCAACTAGAAATGTGCTCCTGCCCTGCTTTTCAAGAAGTAGAATGTGGGGGGAAAAATAAGTAAGAGTGTGAGGGTATTTGGGACGTTTGGCCTTTACCAAAATGAGACTAGCAAAT